CCCACCCCCTCCTTCGCCATCCAGTGACTCACTTTCGCCTCTCAAAGAGCTTTTACGAGACGAGACGGACCGGAGCGAGCTTGTTCGGGGCCCCTGTAAAAGCTCCCTTTATTAAATTAGCACTAAAACAGACAAAGCGAGTGGGCAGTTTGTTTGTTTCACCTCGTCAACATGACAGTTATGGCGCGGAATGAATCACGACCTCCAGATGAGAAGATTAACAGCATGCAGGGGGTCAGATTGATTTGCGTGAAGGCGACACAAAGGAGAAAACGCCTGGCTTTTAGAGGCCATTTTTTTTCCCCTTGATTGATGCTTTTGGAGACCTGCGACAAAGATGTGAAAACACCCGCGTGTTTTGAAGGGAATTGTGGAATTCCGAGATGAGATGGAAGAATACGTAGCTCACACTCGGTGCCGGTAATGACGAGCGCCGCCACCCAAAAGCATGCGGCATTCGCTTTTTTGTGAAATTCTCACGCAGATCATTTTCTTTGACGCGAATGTGGTTTTTTTTTTGGGCTTTTGTGACACCTCACATTGTAAAGCAACAAGACCGAGAGAGGACTTTTGATGGCAAAATTGGCTTTGTTTTTCCTCCCGTTGCCGCTTGAAAAGCAACTCCGAATGTCAACGTGACGGCTGTTGGAGCCGTCAGCGCATTGACTTCTGAACAATGCTCCTCTGTTAGCCGCGTCGCAAATACATTTCCGATAAAGCAGACTGCTGCTGAATACTGAGCGTTTGGAGCCTTGCTCCTGTGTGCCAGCGATGTTAATGCATGCATCCTTTTTTTTTTTTTAATGTCTTACACTTGGATGCTTTTCAGTCTCCCGATAGTCCAACGACAGCAGTAAAAAGTGAAAAATCAGCAGATTGCAGAAAAGTTTGTGAAAAGGAGTTTTGTGGATGAGCTGTGATGTGGAAGGCCAAAAGGGGGATATTTTTAAGTTTGGAGCAGGTGGTGCTGCCAGATGTCTTATTTAGTGATGATGGTTAGCGTTTTCCATCTTTTGTAACAGGATAGTCAGGCGCTCTTAAATAAAGGTTTAATTCACCCATCTGATGCTGCTCTGAAGACTTGGTCTTGAAGTATTTGGCTTTCTTCGGGCTTTGGAAAACTATTTTTGTTTGACAGGCGTGTTCATTGTGGTATTTTTCTTTTTTCCCTTTTTTTTTTGTTTTGTTTTGTGTGAGTTATCAGTGGGATGTCCAAAAATTCGGCCCCAAAAACCGTTTTTAATCAGCGACATGATATTTCATAAGCAATCAATTTGAACACCTGACCAAACTTTCAAAACCTACAGAGCAGACCTATAAAAATGTATTTGAAGCGGCTATTCTGCACATGGCCAGGTTTGCGGCATCTCCCGGAATTGAAAAAAATAAAATAAAATTGAGCCTCTAAAGCGAGTTGCAACCGAAATTTTGGGAGACAGGTCTGCAATGAGTCGCCTGACAAAAAAAAAATCGAACAAAACCTGTGCCCTCAAAGCCACAGCAAATCAGCCATTTTGGTTTGAAGCATACAATTTATGATCATTTTACAGGTTGGCAGTTCCCCCCTCGCATTAAAAAAAAAAAAAAAAAAAAAAAAAAAGAATTTGGCCCCGAAGCTGGTTTCAATATTTTGATGGCATGTCCATCATGAATAGACCTCCAAAAAAAAAAGCCTCAACACCCCATGCATTAAAAAGACTCGCCTTTTTGACTCCAAGCAGCCGTTCTTCAATAACAGTCAATATTTATTCCCCCACAGAGCACCTCAAAGCAGCCCTGGATGAGTACATGATCCGCTTGCCCAAAGTGCGCATCCTGAGGAACAAGAAAAGGGAAGGTCTGATCCGGACTCGTCTGCTGGGCGCCGCCGCCGCCAAGGGCGAGGTCATCACCTTCTTGGACTCGCACTGCGAGGCCAACGTTAACTGGCTGCCGCCGCTACTCGGTGGGGAACACTTGAAAAAAATTGCTCCTTCTTCCACTGTCGACAAATAGCGCGGACGGGTGAAACTTATCGTGTGACCGTCTGCTGAAAAGCGCAACTCGCTGCCTGTGCTCGGCAGACCGAATCGCCCAGAACCGGTTTCGAGTGAGTTTGGTGGAATTAGTCGTCCACCCCCCCCTCGCCCAAACGAGACGACCTTCATCGGTGCAAATCTAATTGGAGTCGCAAAGATTCTCATTTTCATTGTGATTGACATTGACGCAGCGGTGGTCCGAGTTAGAAAAAAAAAAATCATCCGTCATGCTCCCACCTCAATGTCAAACGAGCAGAAATAGAAAGCATCAAGTCGGCCGTTTCTAATTAAATCTCCACTCCGGGTTGGAATATTCACGGGCCATTGGGTCGAATCTCCCCCCCCGCGCCCGCCCCACTCCCTCGAGTGTGATGACACTTGATCGTGAGGAAGCATCCCGCTGAGAGAACTGACATGGGCTCTTGGAGATGTCAGACGCTATTGTTTTCCAGACGGGTCCGTCCAAATAACAGGCGGCGTCGAGCGCAAGACGCTAACGTGGCACTTTGTGTCTTCACTCTGTTCTCTTGAATGGACTCGAATGAATGCGATGCAACCTGACTGGTGGGTCCCTTTTTTTTTGTTTGTTTGTTTGTTTGTTAGGTCTCCGGTGATGGCAGGAGGCCTGTTCGCCATGGACAGGAAGTGGTTCTGGGAGCTGGGAGGCTACGACACGGGTCTGGAGATCTGGGGAGGAGAGCAGTACGAGATCTCCTTCAAGGTAAGGAAAACGCTTCCTGTTTCCGTTAGCTGCAGTCGGTCGGGCCTGAACTCCATCCATCTATCTTCCCATCCCCGGGGTGGGGGGTCCTGGAGCCTATCCCAGCCGTCTTCGGGCAGTAGGCGGGGGGACACCCTGAACCGGTTGCCAGCCATTGGGCACACAGAGACGAGCAACTATCCGCGCTCACACTCACACTCAGGAACAATTTCAAGTGTTCAGTCAGCCTGCCACGCATGTTTTTTGGAAACAATTTCGAGTGTTCAGTCAGCCTGCCACGCATGTTTTTTGGAATGTGGGAGGAACCGGAGTACCCGCAGAAAACCCGCGCAGGCCCGGGCAGAACATGCAAACTCCACACAGGAAGGCCGGAGCTGGAATTGAACCCCGTAGCCTCTACACTGTGAGGTCGACGCGCTAACCACTGGACCACCGGGCTGATTTTATGGTTAATTCATATTGCAAGTCTCAAATCATCCTTCAACTTAACCTTCATGCTGCCTTGTTGTCCAGCACAGCAAACTAGTTGAGCCTGAATAAAAACCGCTCGACGCCACGTCTGTTTTACGTCGAAATATCGCAAGTTCAAAATCATCCCGCAACAAATGTGACCTGCATTGTGATTTGTTTTCAACTCGAAAACAAGGCAGGCCCGTCTAGGCGGCAAAACAAGTCAGCTACAGTCACTTGTAATGCGTAATAATGTCAAACACATTAAAGCTGATGGGAGGGAGGGGTTCCCCGCCAGTGTTGTCCATTCTGGTTTCAGCTCTTGTTAAGAGTCAAAGGCAAGCGGCTTCACATCAATCACACTCACGGCGCCTTCTTATTAGATTGAGCTTTTGTTTGCCGTTTCAACGGGAATTATTCCGTTTAAGCGGCGGCGACTCGGACCGCATGCTAAGAAGCCGTCCCGCCGCTCTTCCAGTCAGCCGAGCTGGCTCGCTCGGTAATCGAATTGCGCTTTGAGTGAGTGCCTTGCTTTTGTCATCTCACTTAATCACCCCCCGCCCATCCGCCCTCCCCCTCCCGCCATCCGCCCTGGGGGGAGGCTGATGTGACGGGACGGATGCTGCGTTGCGGGAGCAAATGTTGTTTGTCTCCACCGGACCAGCTTTTGTTGTGATCATGAACTGAGCTGTCAAATCGATACCCGTTTCGTACCGTCCCTTTTCGGGCTATGCGATGTGGCTAAAATTTTATATCTCGATATTTTTTGCGAGATTTACATGCGACATGAGTGTGGAAAGGGTCACATGACTGATATCGTTCTCATTTCGATCTCGATTTCGATACGAGAAAGCGACATCGCCCAGCCCTCGTGCCTTTGTATGAAGCTGTTGGGTATTATTGGTCATTTTCCGCAGAGGATAAAGAATATATTCCAATGAGTATTGCTTTTTTAGCTATTACTTCAAGGGTTGGAATTGCTGTACGATAGGTACTAGCTGCAAATACGCTTTTAAGCAAGCAATGGCACTTTGGTTCTCACAAAAATCAACTCCAAAGACAATTTACAAACAACTGAAAGTTGCAAACCATGAAGGAAATGATGTCACGGTGACCCGCTGTGGACTGATGCTGTGTTGTTTGCATCCAGGTATGGATGTGTGGCGGGCGCATGGAAGACATCCCGTGCTCCCGGGTGGGACACATCTACAGGAAGTACGTCCCCTACAAGGTGCCTGGAGGGGTTAGCCTGGCCAGGGTGAGTCAAATCTTGATCCTTGTAGCAAACTTCAGATAGACACGGGTGGCAAGAAGAAAAAAAATATATTATGCTCTGCCCTCCATTCTCTCTGTGTGTACTCGTGGCCAACAACGAGACACTCTAAAGGGGCCTACCATCCCCCCCCCCCCACACACACAGGCAATCTTGTTGAACTTGAAAGAGATCACAGTGAATTTTCCACGCTCTTCCCTCTTTCTCTCCGTTACATGCGCACACTCACAGCCTACAACGAGGCACCCTAAAACAGCCATGCCCGCATGAAGCCCCTCTAAAAAGTGAAATACCGTTTTCGGCTTTTCTCTCTGACGTGCGCACACTCGCGGCCGACAATGAGGCGCTTTCAAGCAAAACCGAGCCAGCGAACTATCCGAAGCGACGATGTCCCGACTTGTCTGAGCTTTCGGTCTCCAGTCAAATAATCCCGCATTTGTCAGGAGTCAGGAGATCCACCTTGCCACCTCTGGAATCTAATCATCGTTGCGAGCGCTGGGGAAAGCATCGACAAGAGTGGCTTCACCTGGGCTTGAGCTGCAGGCAATGGAGCATGCAATAGGGCCGCACACACGTGTGTGCGCGCGTGTGTGCGTCCGTGTGTGTGTGTGTGTGTGTGTGTGTGTGTGTGTGTGTGTGTGTGTGTGTGTGTGTGTGTGAGAAACTTCCCGGGCCGGGGGATTTGTATTCATTCTCCCTCATTGACCGCCAAGGCTGCCAAGGGCTTCGGTGTGTCTGCTCATGCAACCAAGGCTGGCTTTTCTTTTATTTGAATTTTTCTTTTTTTTTTTTGTATCCAACAATCATGTCGAGGAGGCCTCGGTTGGATGGTTAGTTTTCTGTTGCTCTGGAGCAGAGTCTTTGATGCTGGCACTTTTTAAAAAAAAAAAAAAAAAAAAGGTTCGTCAAAAGAAGCCGTGCGCTGTTTTTATCTCGTCACTTGAACTGACAAGTTGGGACAACAGCCGCAAAGCTCCGTTGGTATTACAAAGTACTTCAAGGCTTGGTTTGGGAGGTGGCAGCCGTGTTGTAAATTTGCATCCCATTTAGAATTTTATTTTATTTTATTTATTTATTTTTAAATTGTGTTTTAATCCACTTTACACAGAATTTAAGTGTTTTTTAATTAGATATTTAAATTTTTTGTTGTCGTGATTTCATTTCATTTACAATATTAATTCAATCAAATTAAAAATTTTTTTTTTTTTAATTATTGGATGTTTTTGTGATGTGATTTAATCCTTATTCACATTTCCAATTTATTGATAATACATGTTTTGTTTTGTTTTTAATTTCCACACTTTCTAGTGTGATTTATTTCCATTTACACTCAGAATTTAACTAAATGTGTTTTTTTTTTTTTTGGAATGCCTTTTTTTATGATCATTTTTGGATTTCTTGTGGTGCAATTTAGTCCCCTTGATAGATTTTAGTTGAATTGAAAAGTTTTAGAGTTGGCCTGTAATTAATTTTTTAGGGCTGGGTGGGTACCGATTATTTGACGGTATCGGGTGTTCATGAAGGCTTCCGCTACCAGCCACTGATATTTAAGACCCCAGAAAATCTCCTCTGCCACATCGGCCTTTGTTCACAATTTTTCATCACTGTGATAAATATAAATTATCCTGCGGGCCTGATCGAACCTCCTTGGGGGCCGGTTCCGGCCCGCGGGCCGTATGTTTGACACACCCGATTTACAAAGTGACTCCAAAGTCCGACTGGGCTGCTGCCTCGACGGTTTCAAACGGAGCAAAGAGCGTGAACAACGGGCATCGCTCCTCTTCCAGAACCTGAAGCGAGTGGCCGAGGTGTGGATGGACGAGTACGCCGAGTACGTGTACCAGCGGCGGCCCGAGTACCGCCACCTGTCTGCGGGCGACATCGCGGCGCAGAAGGAGTTGCGGAGCCGCCTGGGATGCAACAACTTCAAGTGGTTCATGAGCGAGGTGGCCTGGGATCTGCCCGAGCACTACCCGCCCGTGGAGCCCGCCTGCCGTCTTCTGACTCTCGCGTCGGTCGCAGATCCGAAACGAGGCGAGCGGCATGTGCATGGAGACCAAGCACTTTGTGTCGGGAAGCCCCATCCGCCTGGAAAACTGCGGCAAGGCGCGGGGCGACGTCAGCTGGAGCCACGGACAGGTGAGCGCGAACGAAAGCAAAATAAACGCCAATCCGTTTGTGTGCGCGACGGCCGGCATGTTCTCCACGGCGGACGTCGGAGGAAAGTCGAAGAAAGGCTTTGGCGCGTTCCGAAATGGTCACGCAGAAGACCGACAGAGTCAGGTCAGAGAGGCAAAATTTCCACGATGGACGCGATCAAATTGCTCGCTAACGCAACTTTAATTACTTGGACAACTTGCATATTGCTTTGAGAGAGGCGCGGTCGGATCGGTGATACGCTGTGTCCTATTGTTGATGCGCCACATTGTCCCTCAGGTAATTGCCTTTCTATGTCCACACACACACACACACACACACACACACACACACACACACACACACACACACTTTCAGCGTTATTAACTTTACACGCTCCCGAAGGAGTGTTTGTTTGGAGATGTGTAATCCCAGTTTATAGAAGCGGCCTAATGGATCGCGCGTCTGCCTGCTTTTGTTTCCGCCGCGGCGCAAACGCAGCACGTCGGCGCTTCTCTGACACCTTAATTGCTTTCGAGCGCCATCGCGTTGTTGTTCTAATCGATGTCACGGCGCCCGTTCGGCCACGAATGCGGTTCGTCGCAAATCACCGGACGGGAACGACTTTGTTGGCTTTTTGTCCCAAGAAACGCTTGGAGGTGGGCCCGCCAATCGCAAGTGAAAGAAAGTTGGGGGACATGCGAAATTGAGCAGCATCGCACGTGGTCATTTTTGGTCGCTTGGCATAAGTCGTCACCAAGTCGCGCGTTGCTCATCCCTCGCCGCCGTCGTGTGCCGGCAGGTGTTCACGTTGGGCTGGCGCCAGGACATCCGCGTGGGCGACCCCATGCACACCAAGAAGGTTTGCTTCGACGCCGTCTCCCACAGCAGCCCCGTCACGCTGTACGACTGTCACGGCATGAAGGGAAACCAGCTGTGGCGCTACCGCAAGGTAAAAAAAAACAAAATTTTCCAAGTTGAAAGGGTTTGAATCGATCAAAATCGGTGATCATGAGGCGGGGATCTGGCGTGGTAGAAGTGTGAGACAACAACCTCCGTGTTGACCTCAAGACGGGGCGGGGCTCCATCACCTAAACCCCCCCCTCCCCGTCGTGTGCCCCCTCCTCAGGATAAGAGCTTGTACCACCCGGTGAGCAACAGCTGCGTGGACGGCAACGCGGCCGAGCGGCGCCTCTTCATGAACACGTGCGACCCGTCCTCGCCCGGCCAGCGTTGGCTCTTCGAGAAGATCAACGGCACCGTTCTGGAGCGCTTCAACCGCCGCGCGGCCGATTGAACGCCGCCCGCCCCGGTACAACCCGCTGCTGCTGTTTACGCTCTGCCCCCCCACCCGGGGATAGACGCCGCCCTCGTGGGCCCCGACTTTGATTGATGGCATTTGACGCCGCGTTCTTACTCCTGGCTATCCCCCCCTCCCTGCCCCCCCAACCCCGTCCCTCCTTTCTTCGCCTTATTTTTCCTGCCTTTTCTTCACCGCCGAGTTCCTTATCTCATCCTGCCTGTCCTCGCCCTTTCTGGCCTGACTGCCTCTGACCGCCGCCCCCGACACCCCCCGCTCCCTTCCCGTCACCAAAGACATGGCCAAGAACCGCTTACCTGCCCAATGAATGACCCCCTCGCCCCCACCTTTACCCCTCGTTCCATCGCTTTGGAGTGAGTAAAAATGTTCCTTTTCCAATCATGTGAAGCCCTGCTTGATTTATCTCTCCTGGTCCAAAGTCTGTTGGGATCCCTGCCCCCCCAACCCCGTCCCTCCTTTCTTCGCCTTATTTTTCCTGCCTTTTCTTCACCGCCGAGTTCCTTATCTCATCCTGCCTGTCCTCGCCCTTTCTGGCCTGACTGCCTCTGACCGCCGCCCCCGACACCCCCCGCTCCCTTCCCGTCACCAAAGACATGGCCAAGAACCGCTTACCTGCCCAATGAATGACCCCCTCGCCCCCACCTTTACCCCTCGTTCCATCGCTTTCATCTTTTCTTTTTTTTTTCCCCATCATTTCTTGACGCTCTCGATGTCAGCGGCCGCTGGAAGCGTCCCCCGTCACAGGCGGATGAGCGTGGCGTCGCGACCCGCTTGCCGCGTGATTGGCAGGTGGGATGGGGTGACGCGGGAGGGGGGAAAGGCTCCAAGGGGGGGCCACTCTAATGCACTTGTGATAAACTTGAATGAAATCTTTGTGCCTTGTTGAACATTTTAGGTGTGCGTGCGTGCGTGCGTGTGTGTGTGTGTGTGTGTGGCCAGCCACCCCAAAAAAAAAAAAACCTCTCCTAATGTTGCCTGTTTTTATTTTCATTCAACAAATTCCCCCCTAAAAAAAAAAAAGATTGCCAAAAACGCTTAACAGTGAACATGCAAATTTGTGGCCACCTCTATCATTTTTTTTCTTTGTTGTGGAGTCGTTCGTATCAAACCTCCCCTTTTGTCAACGTGCGATCAAAACAATTCAGCAAAGGAACGAATGTTTATTTTGTGTGCGTTTGTGTCATGTGACCAATTTGTGTGTCGCCAACTGTACATTTTCTACGGCGTGAATGACACCGTCTTGATTTTTCTACTGTTGTTGCAAAAAAAAAAGTGGTTGGGGGGGAGAATAAAAAAAAGTTTATTTAGGTATTTAACAAAGCGTACAATGAAACTGGAATTGTATGATATTTTTGCTGAGATTGTAAATAAAGAAATAAACCCACAAATGAAAAGAAAAGGTTTCTATATTTGAACCAAAAACATCAACGGTAGAATTGTGCGTGTTCTTTGGCATTGAACTTTAAAACACATCTTCTATAGTTATAATAATGATTATAGAAGCTAATAATTGGGGATTGTCGGATTTCTGAAAATCGAGCGTTAATATTCAACGTTAGCACATTAGCATTGCTAGCTGACGGCTCCCAAATATGTCAGCCGAACATGAGCGACATCGACCATCATCATCAATCTGATTCATTTGCTGTTTTTTTTTTTTTGATCAGATTGCTTGCAGGCGGCGACGGCGGCGCAGCGCCATCTGGACCGCGTTGTCGTCTCGCTAACTCGCCTTTCTAATTTCCTCCCCTTGTCACTTGTTATTAGCGCCGTGCCTGTGACTTTAATCCCCTCGCGTCTCCTCGGCGGCGCGCAAACACACTTTCCTCCCCGAAAAGTGTGAAATCCCGTAATCGCTTCCTCGACGAATCACAGGCGTCAGGCGATAGCGTTGGGCCGTCGTCGGAAATGGAAAGAAATAACATCACGGGGGTGGGGTTTTTTTGCATCTGGGCTTAACGCCACAAAAAGAGTGATGAAGTTGTGACCAAATTTTTTTTTTAATCCTCATATTTTTGGAGGGGTCAAATTTTGATTATTTTCTTAGAAAAGTCGCATTTTTGTTCTCGTAAAAAATTTCTCATAATATGTTCTGATTATCGCACTTTATTCTGATAAAATTGCAATTAAAAGTGAAAATGAGAGTTCTTGTCACATTCCGACTTTCTGTGATTGATTCCAAATAAATTCAAATGTTTCTCTTGGTATATTTGTGTTTTTGGAAAATTATATTTTTCCCCTTGGTGGTATATTATGACTTTATCAGCCTGTCAAAATTTGCAATCTAGAATTTTGAGATGTCGGGGGGCCGTCCAGGATTGGAATGGCCGTCCCATTTCCAAGAAGAAAGCAGGCCTCATTTTCCAACCAACCATCCCAGAAAGTCAGCTGCATTGATTGACAGGAGCCTCCGAAAGTAAGTCGTGCTTTAGTGTCACCCCTTTTGCTTTTTTTTGGTTTGTTTTATTGTTTTTCTTTTCTTGCAGGCAACCTGGACGACACTGACCAGGATCCAACCTATGGCCACTAAGTATCCAGAAAAAAAAAAAGTCATCCTTGCCATCGAAATGGATTTTTACGATCACTTT